CTCCTAGGGAAGCTAACACAATTGCTCATTCTTCCCTCTCTCCTCTGCCTTCGACTGCCCTTCACTCCTGATCTTTCCTAGTGGCACTTACACATACCGTAGTCTACCTTGCTTAAAAAAATGAAGTATCGGCGGAGCACAGTGGGCTGTGGTGTGGACTGCAAGTGCTTCGGTGGTGTGGGTGCTAAGGTAACGGCACCAGAAGGAAAAGGGGGATTCTATACTTCCAAACACCAGCTATGTAAACCAATGCTACTTCAATAATAAATAAATAATAAAATAAATAAATAAAGCGATGACTGCAAACCCGGTTGCCAGTACGTTCCAGCCCTCCCCCTGAGAGGGGGGTTTGTGCCCCTTTCCTCTAATCTGAGTGGCTGGACTGCACTGCAAAAGGCCTGCCATGCGGCCTAGGAGGCCCGGTTCTCAGAGGCCCCGTGTCTTTCCCTTTGCTCCCTGGAACACTTCCTCTTGGGCCTGCTGGTAGTGGTGTGGCCCCGAGATGGCCATGCTGGACAGGCTGTGTGTGCTGACGCTGCAGTGGCTGGAGCCTGCTGAGCTCAGCCTTCCCGTCATCCCCAAGATGCCAGACGTGTGAGCGACGCTGCCTGGACTCTTCACACAGCCCATCTGCCAGCTGAACACCATCGGTGACCTCTGTCAGTGCCACGCAGAGTGAAGAGTCACAGCTCAGCTCTGCATGTATTTCCAATCCTGAGAGTTGTGAGTTGATGACATGTTTGTGGTTTAGTCACTAAATTTCAGGTAATGAGACAGCAACAGAAAACTGGAACATTTTCCTCATTGCCATCCACCCTCCCCCTTCCTCTCTCCCTCCTTCACTTCACAGCCGAGTTTCTCGGAAGCATTGTTCCCACTCACTCCAGAATGCTTTAGCTCAGCTTAAAAGTCACTTCCTCAGGTTGGCCATCTCCACATCCTTAGTCCAGATTTAGGCTCCTTGGTTATTTGCTCTCCAAGGGCTCCACACTTTTCCTCTCAAAGAGCTTATCATAATCTCTACTTATACATGTGTGATTTGTCGATCAGTATCTCGCTGTCACCACATTTACGAGGCTGGAGAATGGGTCTGTCTTGCTCATCCCTGCAGCCTCTTGCCTGGCATACAGTAGGCACTCAACAAGTTGGCCTCATGAATAAATGAGTGAATTAGTTTATCAATAAGCTAGGTGAGATGAACCCCCCGCCCCCACTAAGAGTACTTGGCCGGCTCTGGGCTAGATGGTGCACATCTAGCCAGGGGCACGTTTGTTTCGCACATCAAGCATTTCTTGAGTAGTTACTTCAGACCAATCCTTGGAATGCAAAAATAAAAGGAAGGGAACCGCTGAAAGAGGGCTGGGGAATACAGACCAACACACACAGTGATGGTGTGGAGAGGATTTGAGAATTAGCAAAGGAACAGTGTAAAGGCAGAAGAGCAGAGCAGAGCAGAAGACTGAAAAGGGAGGCCAGGAAAAAGAAATAAAGCAACTGGAATATTTCTCAGTATCCACACGAGGCTTCTTAGGTGCTGTCTTCTGGGGCACACTGGTCCACCCACTTCTGAACCTAATGCCACCCTGTGCCCCCATAGAATGGCCCGAGCTCTCCCTCAAAGCATATTCTACCAGTCTGGGGATGAGTCTGTGGCTGACAAAGATAAAATTGCTAGGAGGATTGGGGTAGTGCCGCCACTACTCAAATTAGTCCATTTTCAGGTGGAAATGAAATCTTTATTCTCGCTGAAACAACCTGTCTCTTCACTGAAGCAGCTCATTCCCAACCACTTAAAAGCAAGCAGCACATCTAATGGCAGAAGATACCACACCTAATGGAGAGGTGGAGCCTTAGTCCCTGCTTGGTTTGCTTGGGGCAGAGGAAGAGCAGGGGCTGATGTGGTGCTGGCAGCTTCAGGGAAGAGGGAAAAGAGAATAAGGAAGGCGGGGGGCACTGTAAGAGGAAAGACCTGGGTAAAAAGAGCAGGGTGAGCTAAGTCTCCACCATCCCCTGGACGCCCAGTGAGCCCCAGTGAAGGGAGGGGTGTTGGAAAGTGCCAAAGGTTTAGGGAACTGGCATGTTTATCTTCCCCAAAGTGAAAGCTGTTGCTTCTTTCTCCAGGGAGAAAGAAGGGGCTGGAAGTCCCTCTAGGATACACAGATGAACTAGCCTTTGAACTTGAAGATAATTAATAATGTGCAGATGTCTCCAGATATTCTCTGCCTGTCATTTTGTGTCCCACCCAGGGAGCTGCATGTGTATATTTCTGGGTTTGAAGTCTCTCTCTCTCTTTCTTGCTCTCTCACACACACACACATGCAGGCTGAGGCATGCGTGCACATGGATCTCTTCTTCCTCGGATTCCTTTGCCCCCAGCCAGATTACCCAATCATCTACCAGGGTTGACTCCCCTCTTTTTGAGGTCTTACAGGGGGAGTCAGAGTAGGAGCCTCGGCAAAGAGGAGTTGGGGTGGGGGAAGAAGTCATTGGGTAGTTTTTCCTGCTTTGGAAGAGAAGCCAGATGTATCTGCTTGGGTGACCACAGATGTCCCACACCCAGACAGCTGGGAAGGAGGGTAGTGCATTGTTGTAGCCCCAGCAGGCCAGTACCCCTACAGGCCAGTCTTGCCGAAAATAAAACTCCTCTTAATGCTTGCTGCTGCTGCTGCCGCTGCCACCATCGTTTAGCTATGAGGTTAGTAACTGTCCATTAATTCTGAAGAGCTGACTCTTGCCAGAGCTGCACCAACAGCTGGAAGCCAGAAAGTGCTGACATGGGGGGTGTTGATCCCCCACCCTGGCTGGGAACTCAAAGGGTAAGTCGGAGAGGTCGCTGCATGGCTTACTCAGCTCTACCCAAGTGCCAATTAGTTAGGGTTTTTCTGAACATCTACAGGGCCTGCCACGGTTGAAAAAAATTATTGTTAGAGAAGCTCATTTTGTTTTTATGTTAAAACCCTTCTCCTTAGGGATGGAGCTTTCTTGACTGTCCCCTCCTCCTGTCTCAGGAGAGAAATGTCAGCTAGGAGATGGTCAAGGACTGGGCCCTGGCTCTTGGTTACTCACAACAGTTATCATGGGTGAGTACTTTCCTGGCCTCGTGACTGGGGGGCAAGAATATCAGTGATTCTCATATCTTATGGCTTTCTCAGGGAAGTAGGAGGTGGTAGGGATTTTAAGGAAAAACACGAGAAATATAAATGATTTTCCTTGGTTCCTATTGCTCCCTCCCACTTCATTCATAAAATCCCATTCTTCACTGAAAGGACATTAACTTAATTTTCAAATCAGATTAATGAAGTAAGAATCCTGTATTCAAGGAGAAGTGAGAGCATTGTGGGTTTAGTCTAGACCTCAGAGAGCCCCATGGAATATCAGGACTTGGAATCTTAGAATTTATCTAATCCAATTCTCTTCTTTTATAGATGCAAAAACCAAAGCCCACATAGGGAAAGGACCCACCTGAGACAGTTAGTGGCAAATGTGGGACCAGAACAAAGGGCTCCTGACTTCCAGCCAAATGCTTTTATTCTGAGATATTTTAATACTTCATTCTCTTATTTTACACCCAATTACTGAGTCTTTACTATCTTCCAGGTGCTGTGGGGGAGGGGAGGTGTGGAGAGAGGCAAAGAGATGAAAACAACACAATCCTTGCCTTCAAGGAGCTGTTTCCCTAGATCTGTGATTCTTGGGAAAAAAATAAAAACTGTGAGTCAGACTGTCACCCTATATTGTTTTCTATAGGTGATGATGGAAAGGGAAATGGTGGGAGGCTGGGGGGGGTAGAGGACTCTTTTTTGGAGTTTCAAGATTTTTAAGTTGTTCTTCAGTGACTCTGGGACCCCAAGGAGGCCAAGGACAAAGGGAACTATGGTTGGGCTGGGAGAAAAGTAGGTAGGAGTGACAGTGATTAGGTCGGTGCCAGCAGGCCTGACTGGCGGATGGGAACAGTGACAGCAGTTCACTGGTATGGCGACATACAGTTGACAAGCCTTCAATCAGGTACACTGTTTCATTAAGTCTCAGGCAGTTTCCTGAAGTGAGGAAGCAGCTACCCCCTCCCCACTTTGGGGGTGAGGAAATTGAGGTTCAGAGAGCTCAGATAACTGGCATGGAGCTAGTAATGCCAGTGCCCAGCCAGGAACTCCTAGTCTAGGCTCTTCTACCCCTGGAGTATGGAAATTGTAGTGGGTTGAGAGAATGGAGATAAAGCAGCAGTCAGCTACAGTGTTAGGCCAGGCTTCCTCTATGCAGTTTTATTTTGATTGCTACATTCATCCACTCAGAGAACTCTGCTTCAAAGAACTGGAAGCACTTTGCAGGCCTGAATGAGCTCATTCAGCACACTCCTGCCAGAAAGAGGCTCTATCTAGGGTCACTAGCATTCTGGCATACAATAGAAAGTAGGATGCAGGTTCCCCTCCCAGCTCTGCCCTCATGCACCAACTTATGTGAGGTAAAATCTGGCTCTTTCTCTGAGAAGCAAGAGGGTCACAGAAATATTGAGGTATCTTCTGGCATCTCTTTCCTTTTCTGGAGGACTAAGCTACGGGGTCTTGAAGGGCCTGGCTCATTCCTTGGCCCAAGGACCATAACCAAGGCAAAGAAATCTCAGGGCAAGGGGGACCACAGCCATATCTGTCACCTTCATGAGCAGATTTGGGGAAAGAGAGCTGGGCGTAGTGAAGCTGGTTCAGATTTCCCTCGTGTTGCAGGGACTGGGGTAGCAAGCATTACAGTACAGTCATACTACAGCATTATTTGCAACCGGTGGGCAGATGATCTTAGAGTTGCCTGAGGTCAGGGTCAAGGCCTGGTGGTGTAGGGTCCCTTCCAGCAGCCCCAGTCTACAGGGTGAGGGTTAGAGATGGAATTGGCGCTATGGATGGCAGCCAGCAGGGAGTCAGAGTCCTCACCCCTATGAGAGCCCCTATTGCCCTCCCCAGCTCAGTCTTGGCTCTCTCTGCGCTCGCGCTGTCCCCCAGACGGCCCCTTACCTGTCCCGCCGAGGATGGTCCCGCCTCCTCTGCGGGGCTTGGGGGCTCAGCATGGGCGGGTGAGCGATGGCGCCCCTGCCTCGCAGTCGCGGTGGAGCTCCCAAAAGGGAGCTTCTGCTCCTGGACCCGGGTCGCTGCCGCCGCCGCCTCCGCTTCAGCACCGCGGACAGCTCCCTCCCGCCGCCCGGCGCCGCCGTCCGCCCCGCCCGACGCGGTCCCGGGAGCCCCGCATGCTGGCTCGGCCCCGCCGCCACCGCGTAGACCTCAGCCCGGCCCGAGGCGGCTCCGCACCGACTTGGGAGAGCAGCGAGGAGCGTCTCCCTCCTCCCTGTCTCTTGTCGCCGCCGCCACCTCCCTATCGCCTCCGTGCTCCCTTCCACGCTCCGGAATCAGCCCACCAGGCACTCCGGACCCAGCTCCCGGGCGGGGCCGGGCGGGGCGGAGCGGGGCGGGAAGTCAGGGGATTCCTGAGGCGGCGGCGGAGCGAGGGGTGCGCAGCTGGAACCGGCTTCTCAGGTTCCTGGAACCGAGTCCCCCTTCTAGCTCTTCTCGCTTACTCCCGCGCTCCTCTAGAAGCGATGGGCGGCCCTCGGGCTTCTAAAAGCATCTTGGTCTTAAACCCTGAGTTTTAATAATGATCTGCCCTACAAAGAAAATCGAACCAAACATAAAGCATTCATTGGATGCCTACTATGTAGCAGACATCATACCAGGTTTTATGTTTTTAACCAAATATAATCTGGTTTTATTTCCTTAACTCGATGAGGCAATACATTTTTTTTCTCCACTCAACACATGAAGAGTTAGGCTCACAAACATTAAATCTCTTGATCTGGAGATAACAGAGTCTGCGGGAAGTGCACAAGCTTTAAAAACCATAGGCTAAGTTTTGTTCCTAATGTTCCTCTTGATTCCTGGGCAAGTCACTCCACCTCTCAAAGCCTTGGGTTTCCCATCAAGAATGTGGGGGAGCTGTACCTACCTCAAAGGAGCACATGGGGACAAATTGAGATGACAGATGTGACATATTAGCCTCAAATAAGCCCCTCTGTGGGGGTGAGCACTCTCTTCAGGTGTCAGAGACCAGGACTCCCGTTCATAGTCTTTGTCTTCCTTTTGGTACTGTTCTTTACCTGACTCCTCATTTTAGTTTCCATTAAAAGAAAAGATTTATTTATTTATGCATACAAGAACTGGGGTACAGGCCAGAGATGGGGGGGGTGAGAGGATTCACCAGAGACAGAGTGGGGAGCAGAACAGGTGGACTGACTGAAATACACTGCTGAGGGGAGCAGCGGGTGGGTTGAGAGGGGTCTGCTGTGCCATGTGGGTCACCCCCTGTTTGGGGCTCAAACTCACACTGCAGTGGCTGTGGACAGCCTCATAGTGCTGTGCTCCAAACCATTGCGCCACCAGCGAGGGCCCCCCCTTTTTTTCTTGAAAGCACAGGATACCCTCATCTTGAATGATATGCATAGATGAGGTTATTTTTCAAACTCCATCACAATGTTTTGAGTGTAATCTTACAGAGTACCAGGAGCTTGGGGGGTGGGGGTGGGTGAGAGCATTCACAGCTTCTGAAGTTAAGTAGGGGCTTGCAAAATAAATCCCAGAGCAGGAGGAAAGTTTGTTGAAAGGAAGTATTAGAAAGCTGGTTGTGGCAGTGAAAGTGCTTGCCTACCCAAGAACTCCATAGCACCCTGACTAGCAGATACGAGCTATCCATAGCTCTGATACCTTTTCAACCCACGTGACATGGGGCATCTGGTGTTCAGCATTTGTAGAGGCCCCCAACATACATGTCACATCCCACGTGACATGGGGCATCTGAAGATACCGTATACCACAGTATCTTCAGGAGTATGGGTGCCCTCTTCACAGCTGGCAGAGACCTCCAGGTCTTGTGGCCTGTCTTATGGTAATGTGTCAGGTGTTCTTGTCCTTTATTTATTTAAAAAAAATACTTGTTTTATTTATTTATCATACAAGAGTAGGTTGTAGGCCAGAGGTGTGAGGTGGACATGGAGGGGCTGGGGTAGAGAGGACGTACCAGAGGCAAGTGGAGCTATTGAAAGCTACCCTGAGGGCCTTCCCTGGTAACACAATGAGCTAAAGCGCAGCACTATGAAACTAGCTGTAGCCACTTCAGCACAAGTTCGATCCCCTACTGGGGAGGTGACCCACCTGGCGCAGCAGACCTCTCCTGTCTCATCCACTGCTCCCCATCAGTCTGCCTGTTCTGCTTGCTCTCCACTCTGTCTCTGGTAAATCTTCTTGCTGCCCCTGCACCTCTGGCCTCTGCCCTGTACCCCAGTTCTGTATGCACAAATAAATAAATATATAAAAAAAGAAATATACCGCTGAGGGGAGTTGTGGGCAAGGCAGGAGAGGTCTGCTGTGGTGTGTGGGTCAGCTTCCTGTCTGGGGATCAAACTTAATGCTGCAGCGGCTGTGGGCAGCTTCATGGTGCTGACTTAAGCCCTTGCACCACTAGGGAGGCCATGTGCTCCTGCTCTTTAGAGTGTAAGTCTGAGGCGAAGACCCCTGGACCTCTCACCTGGTGCTCAGCATCTGTAGAGGTCCCCAACACACATGTGCACACCCAAAGCACTGTCCCCTGAGTCTTTGTGCCTTCTTGCACCTTTGCTCCCTTCTGGCCTCCTTCTCATAGGGGCTCATGGCCCCCTGTTTGGCCATGGCCTCCTTCTGCTTCTCCCATCTCTACCCTGGCTTTGCTCCATGCCTGGGCTGCATACTGAATCACTAATCAAAAGGATAATAAAAAGCCAGTGAAGCAAAAGCAGAATATAAATTCCAAATACTAATTTTGATAATTATATGCTGTTGCCTGGAGGGGGAAAGTCTGGGAGACTGTTGGTGTTGTGTCAAGGGCCCTGGCCTGGGCGCCAAGAGACCTGGGCCTTTGTTATTAATTGATTGTGGGACTTTAGACAGTCACCAAATCTCTCTGGGCCTCTGCTTCCTTCGGATTCTAAGCCTCCTCGGCAGCCCTGAAGAAACTGCAGGGGCAACAGCACTATAGGAAATCTGTGACAGGGTAGTGGGCCAATGCAGCTGTGAAAATTTCTTTTAGGAAATTACTTTTATCTGTCACTAGATATAGGGGGTGATTTAGGAACTGAAAAATATGTAAGTATGAAAAGTCTCTATTGCCTTCTTTCATTCCTCCTTCCTTTTTCCAGCAAGCACTTCCTGCTACATAATGAAGGTTAACCTCTCTGTGAGACCCTGAGAATACAAAGTATAAGTCATCATCCAGATCCTTGAAAGATGGATGTGGTTGATATGTTAACCAGAAAATCTAACTTTTTGAGATAAACAGGGTAAATAAAAGAGAAGGAAGGAATGAAACAATGAGAAGGAAACAATGAACTCTGGCTGGGGAAATCCCAGGAGGTTTCCTGAGGGAGGTGACATTTCAGCTGAATTTTATTAAAGGATGAGATATTTACCAGGCAGGCAAGAAAGGAGGAAATTCTAGGTAGGAAGGCTGCAGTGAAGAGACAGGGCTGAAGGATTAGCTATAGCAGAGTCCAGGAGAGATGTAAGAACTTGAAGCAGGCAGAGTCAGGAGTCAGGTGGTGATACTTCTGAAGGAGAACAGGGGAAAGATTGGTTGTGAGGAAAGGGGGAGGTAACGTGGGGGACTCCTGTTTCTGGAAAGTTGATGCTACTTACAAGGGGGAATATCAAGAGGAGAACAAATTCTGCTTTCCTCAGACAATGCTACTGAATGACAACCTTCCGTTTCTTGGCTTTGACACCTGTTTCAATTTTTTCTTTTTAGTTCATAGGAAAATTTCTTAAGCCAAAAACCTTCCCATCTTAACTTAACTTGCCTATGGAAAAGGTTCAGTCTTGGGCCAGAAGAACTCAGTGGGGGCACAACAGCTCCTGGAAGTCTTCCTGGAGGAGGCAGCAGGAATCCTAGGTGGGACCAAAGCAAGATCCATAGAGAAGGAACAGAGCAGGCATTAGATAAACATGGGAGGAGATGCCTCTAAGCCTTATTCTGTTCCTGTCTCTCTTCCATTCCACAAACAGAATCCAGCACAGTAGGTTCTGGGGTTTTTTGGAGCCAGTTCTGGCTGTTAATCTCTTTCCACCTGGGGACCTTCCTTCATAAGCTCTTTCATGCACAAACTCTTAGCTCTTTCTACAAAGGGTTGATTTGCTTACAGCATTCCCTAGGGAATGTAAATCAGCACCAAATGTGGGGAGATCTGCTTCATTCACTGCATCAATACGCTACATACTGGAAAAGATGCTCCCCATAAGGGAGAGGGTGAGCCCTACTCCCAGCTCAGTGACCTCAGTGACTGCAGTACTCTGGAGTCAAACCTATGGTCAATGCCCCTATGCTGAGGTCAACAAGACCCTGGGTAGAGGGGTCAGAACAGGACTGAAGAGTGAGGGAACAAGTGAGCCTTTCAGCTGCCCACCAGCCAAATCTGCTTCCACGGACCTGGCTCCTGCATGACTTGGGTCCAGGCAGAGGCTCATCTCTGGGAAAAGCGGTGGGAAGTAATACTTGACTCTGGATGCAAGAGAGTGCCCTGGGAAAGGCAGAGCGCCCAGTACAAGCCCATAGTCTCTCTTTGAAACTTCTTTGGGGGGCTTTGAAAGTACATTACCACAGCTGCCCACGTCTTCTCTCCCTAGGAGATTGCAAAACTGAAGATGAGGTAATTTCTTTAGCAACACACTGATTCATGCCAGGAAAAGAAGATGGGGAGAGTTCTCAGCACCAGTCCTGCCCAGCTCTCCGCCAGACACAGGCTCACTGGGTCTGGGAAGGAGAATGGGTGAGTTACTGCAGTGTTGAAAGGCAGAACCAGTGCATAAGGTGGAGGCTCACAGCGACCAGACTGCACAGCTCAGAACTCCACCAGCGTCAACTGGCAGCCACAGATGCCTCGGGGGCATGTGAACATTCGCTCAGGGCCAGAAGAAACTGTATTGTTGGCACTTTCTTACTTTTCCAGAGCAGGGTGCTGAGTGAAGAGGTGTGAAAGTGTGGGGGTGTGGGAGTGGGGATTATCCGCAGTGGCAAGCAGAGGGTCAGGTATGCTTGATGCAGTAATGAAAATCAAAAGCCGTGCAAGAATATAAGTGCTTTCTGTTTGTCTTTCAGTCTACAGTTTTTGAAGCATCTGCTTAGCCATTAAATTATTTGCTTCTCATGCCTGTGCATCATTTCTTGGTTCCAGATGAGGTCAATGAGTCCCAGAGAAGTAAAGTAACTTGCAACTTGGAAAAAACAGTCTCAGATCAATACTGCGTCAAAGAAAGAGAAATAAAATGGATTCATGGTGCTTTCTTTCTCCTGCCCTTCAAGGTGCAGACAGCCAAGTGGGTCTGCAAGGCGACTTCACCCTGAACTGAACCCCAACTCCTGGACTGTATTTGGACCCAGGACCCAGGA